GGCTGTGCAACACAGAGAAGACAAGTAGTGATTTTACAGCATCTTACTATGCTGATGGACAGTGACTGTAATGGGGATTGTGGGGGGGACATGGTGAAGGGGGGACCCTAGTAAACAATGTTCTTCATGTAATTATAGATTAATGAGAACAATAACAACAAAAAAAAGTCAGAGCATCTGTTTTCAAGATGGCAAATTGAGCCCTTACTTCAATTGTTTTTCCCTTCCTAGTTCCTAAAAAGAATCCAAAGAAATTATCTGTTTGGTTTTTATTTTATGAAATGTAGCAAGGAAAAAAGGAAATATACCCTCTATAAATTAGAAGATGGTAATAAATTAAAGGGAAACCAAGCTATGGTAAAGAGCTGTCAGTCAACATAGGAAAAGGAGGGGCTCCTTCAGAAGTAACTATATGGATTTCTTCAGCAGAACTCCAGAAAAATCACATAGCTCAGAGTAAATCTCACCAACAAAAGATGGAAGAGGATAAACTAGAAGCTCGCAGTGTTAGTCTCATACTTCACTGAGCTTGCTCTTTGTACAAAAGAAGCTTAGAATGAAAGCTGTAGCCAGCTACTTTGTAGGAATATATCTTCCCTGCCAGATACAGAAATGTACTAAAGCTCAGACTGATAAAAATAACTTAATGATGGCAAAGAAGTAGAAACAGTCAAACAGATTAATGAAACAATACAAAAAGTAGGAAATGTAAAATGTAACAATAATGGTATTTTAAACAGTGGCAACAAGATAAGCTATTCAACCAATAACACTGTGGCAATAAATTAACCACTAGAAAAAATGACATTGAAAGCCTACCTCCCCATATGCCAAAATATTCCAAAGAGAGTAAAGATATAAACGTAAAAACTGTAAATGTAATAAATGGAAATAATGATAAATGAAAATAGTTTCATGATCTCGAGGTAAGTAAAATGTTTCTAATTTTGAAAAAAACAAGACACCCTAAGATTGACAGGTTTTACTAAAGCAAAACTTAAAATTTCTGAAGTACAAAATATGATTATAAAAAGTAGACAACTGAGTAAAACTATATGCCACATACACATATGACAAAGATTTTGCTATCTTCAATACGTAAAATGCTCTTAGAGATAAACTAATAATAAAATGAGAATAGTAGGAGACATAAAAGGTAATTTACACACATACACACAAAATGATGAATGGGAAATATTAAAATATGCCCACTCTTGGTATCTTCTGGCAATGCAAATTAAAATAATCAGGTACTTTTTATACCAGTTTGGCAAAGACTAAGTATGTCCTGTGTTGGAGCTAGAAGGAAAAAGCCATTTTTTTTACAGAGCAGTATGTTAAAATCTGGTGTTTGCACATCCTTTAAAAGAAAATCAATTTTAGCTAACTATTATAACAAAATAATCAGAAAAGCAGGTAAAGGTATAAGCATTAGAATATTCACATTTGTTATAGTATTGAGGAACAGCAAAAATACAATCAATTCATTAAATAAGGGGATATTTATACAATAGAATAATATGTAGCAATTTAAAAGGTTCAGGTAGATCAATATAACAAGGAAATAAATATATGTAGTACAATACCAATTATGAAAAAAGGTATTTATATTTTGCCTAAAAAAGTCCAGAAAGATATACAAATAAATACTGCAATTATTGGGAGTAGAATTACATGGAAAAGTAGAGGTGGGACCTTTCACTTTCTAATTTTAAAAATATTATATACTTTTAATAGCAAAAACAATAAAGGTCTATCCATTTGGAAAAGGAAAGGAAAAAATGTGGTTGGAATATTAAAACAGGCCTCTAACTTCTTTCTTGCAGCACTTTATATAATCATAAGATCACATTTTAGTGACCAATATTACACACTGACCCTTTAACTTTTATGTAGGAAAAACTGCTACAAGATGAAACTGTAACCTGCTGCTGGGGTATCAGGTGAGATGATGAACAGTGAAAAGACTTTGTGAACTTGTACATAAAAGATCTTTGTGGTGTTTAGAAAATTTTTCTTCTATTCTACACCTGTTTCCAGACATCTGCTAAAGTAAAATATGGCTCATAGAAAGAAGTCATAAAAGGAAATAATCTGCCATTTAAAAAGCTACTGCAATAAGAGTGTATATCAGCAATACCTTAATAAAAAATATAAATAAATAAATAAAAGCTACTGCAGCATTGATCTTTTTTAACAGTGATGGTAAGTGTAGATTTTTCTAGAAGCATTTAAATTGACCTAGAAGTGGACTCAGGAAGGTTGGAGAACAGGTGAAAGGCACTTTTTAAAAATATATATACACCAAGGATATTTACACCTTAATTTTAGTCTGAAAGAATTGGACTGGTTATTAAAAAGTACTATTTACTTTTACAAATAGGCAAGTTCCAGCGGTAACCTGGAGATCTGGGAGAGAAGAGCTATCTAGGTGCCACTTCCATATCTCTGAGGCCTTCTCAGGGAGTCATAAACATCCTCCAGAAGTTACAAGCCTCACTTCTGTCCTTATAGTAATAGATCTTAGGGTTTAATACAGATGCCTATAAGAAACTAAGTCTCTCTAAAGATAAAGAACAAGACTAAATATAGAAGGAGAAGTTAATAGAATAATTCTTGGGAAATTAAAGGGGCTACTTAGTGAAAAGAATTATTTCTCACCTTTGTACATTCCATTTAAACCAGGATGGAGACTGAACTCAGATCCAAGAGATGGGTCTTGACCGAAGAGCAACCTTCAAATAACAAAAAAAAAAAAAAAAAAAAAAAAAAGGTATAGACTGTTATCACATTTCAAAAAAGAAGGTACAGGCTGTTATCATTCTTCCCAAACAAAGACTAACAATTTAACCATCATTTTTTACTATGCTTAAACTTGCTAAAATTCTTAGCTACACCACTATTAATATTTCTACATCAAAGTATTTTTCTCAGAAATATACCCCTTAATTAAAAAAACTTATCAAGATGAAAAATAAAGACTTGTTCATATGGTCATGTTCATTTTTACAAATACTCTGTTAATTTGGGATATTTGGGAATAACACACAAATATCAATACAGTTGCTGAACAGAGATAAAATAAGATCATTTGAGGGACCAGTGCTGGTAGGTTTCCTTTACATTTGTCTAAACCACAGAGAATTTGAGATTGAAATCCCAGGGTTAAATATAAGTGTATACTTTCAGAATATACAATAATAGAATTCCTCAATTTTTGGATTCACATCTTACTATGAATTAGGCATCACTGAGGTAACATAGAGAACACACGGTCCTCACTTTCAAGAAGCTTCAAATCTAGTGTGGGATACAAAACTAAGAAATACCAATGATACACCACAGTGGGTATTCTATGAAACAGACTTAGGTGTTCATCTTTTCTGTTTAAAAATACCTTTACAGAATTCAAAGGGCAAAGGCCTTGAATAGAATTGAAAGGACTTGAATTTCTCCAAAGAGGATATACAAAAGGCCAGTAAGCACATGAAAAGATGCTCAACACTGCTAAACATTGGGGAAATGCAAATCAAAACCACAGTAACATACCACTGCACATTCATTAGGATGGTTATGATAAAAAAATGAAACAAATAAAGATCATGAAACAAAAAACAAAAGAGAAAATAAGTGTTGACAAGGATATGGAGAAATGAGAACTCGTGTGCATCGCTGGTGGGAATGTAAAATGGCACAGCCATTATGCAAAACAGTATGGTGGTTCCTCAAAAAATGAAACATAGAACTACCATTTAATCTGGTAATTACATTTATGGGCATGCACACAAATTAACTGGAAGCAGGGATTTGAACAGGTATCATATACCCATGATCATAGAAGCATTATTCATAATAGTCCAAAGTTGGAAGCAACCCAAGTGTCCATCAATGGATGAATGGATAAGCAAAATGTGGTACATACATACAATGGAATATTATTCAGCCTTAAAAAGGAAGGAAATACTGATCCATGATAGATCTTAAAGACATTATACTAAGTGAAATATGTCTGAGACAAAAGGACAAATGTATAATTTCATTTATATGAGGTACCTAGAGCAGTCGGATTCAGAGACAGAAAGTAGAACGGTGGTTTCCAAAGGCTGAGGAGAAAGGGGGATGAAGTGTCTATATGAGAGAGAGAGATGAATACACACAAAGACTGCATGAGGGCACCGGTGGAAGGTGACCATCTGCAAGTTAAAGAGAGTCCTCTGGGGAAAGCAAACCTGTCTGCACCCTAATCTTGAACTTCCAACCTCTAGAACTGTGATAAAATTAATTTGTTGATTAAGCCACCCTGTCAGTAGTATTTTCAGGGCAGCCTGAGCAAACTAATATATCGTTAGTCTTCGCTAGCTTCCCAGGATAAGACTTTTTAAGCTAATTTTATGTCTTTCCTCTTTCAGACCTGGAACTGGTTGGTCACTTCTCATGGAGCCTTGGTTCCTTTGAATAGGACATAGTATTTAGAGTCCACAATACTATTGTTATCATTAATAATAGGATAAGTGAAAAAAATTACTTTGTAATTCCTTATATCCTTAAGGTAAATCTTGTTTGGCATGTATATCTAAATTTAATGTTTTAAAGGCCCTTAAAATAATTCCTTTTTGTATAATTATGCTACCAAATGAATATAGGCAGACCTCAGAGATACTGTGAATTCAATTCCAGACAACCACAATAAAGCAAGTATCAGAATAAAATGAGTCAAATGAATTTTGTTTTCCCAGTGTATATAAAAGTTACATTTACACTATACTGTAGTCAATTAAGTGTGCAATACTCTCATGTCTAAAAAAAAGTACATGCCTTAACTAAAAAATACTTTATTGCTAAAAAAATTAACTATCACCTGAGCTTTCAACAAGACACAATCACTGATCACAGATCACCATAACAAATACAATAATGAAAAAGTCTGAAACTGTGAGAATTATCAAAATGTGACACACAAACATGAAGTAAGAGGATGAGGCTGGGAAAATGGTGCTGACAGACTTGTCCAATGCAGGGTTGCCACAAACCTTCAATTTGTGAAAAACACAGTATCTGCAAAGTACAATGAAGTGAACTAAAATAAAATGAAGTATGCCTGTACATAATTAGGTTCACTTGTTTAATCTTGCTTTTGAGAATTTTTTTAATGTTCATTTAATTTTTTAATAATTATGTAAGCCATTTGCATTGTTCCAAAGGCAAATGTACTAAATAAGACATAGAGAAGCCTCGTACTATACCTATCCTTTCACCCACCTGTTCTTTCCCTCCCCATTTTTTTAATTGTATGGTTTATCCTTTCAGTGTGTTTTTGAAAATACAAACAGTATTTCCAAATCATTCTCTTAGTCCTTCTTAGATAATCAGGAGCATTTTATAAACACTTCTCTACCGTATTTTTTATTTAACAACATATCCAGTAGATTGATTATCATACAAGACAGAGACACTTCTCATTTCTTCTCATTAATATTCACAGTACACCATTGTGTGGATTCTTACAGTTTTAAAAGCTTATTAAAATATGTGCATGGAAGTTAAACCTTTTAGTAAGAAAATTTATAGAACTATGTTCTCCATTCCCAAAAATATACATCATATATATAATCTTACATACATAATGTAGAACAGTTTACTAAGAAAAATAAAAGCTGACTTTCAAAAAAAACCTGAGGTGGGGGAGATGGAGGCATGAGAAGTGAGGCAAAAATCTCCTCCCAAAACCACATACAATGCAAAAATAGAGCAAATACAACTAATCCTAAAAGAGAGACCAGAAATAAGATTGCACCAGTCAGCTACATCTGGGAAAAGAGTACATCTCACTGAGAATGGTAAAGTAACAAAGCCACAACCCGGCAGGCCCAGGGCCCTCCCCCCAACCCAGCTCACTGGTGGGAAGAAGAGAAACAGAGTGGGTAGCAGGTAGAAGTGCAGGACTACTAAATACCCAGCCCTGGAGATCTACTCAGAGAGCACAAACCCACTTTGCATGGTGCTCTGGAGATTAGAGGGGATAAAAAGCAAGTCAGGTACAAGACAGGGAGAGACTGAGATTCTAGCCACTCATGGAGAACAGATTCCAACAACCAGCCACTCTAGGAAAAAAGAAAGGTGGGTGCTTTGAAAGACTTCCCAACATTGAGAGGGCTGCTAAAGGGCAAGGATTACACAGAGCTTGCTGTTCAAGAGAAGGAACAGGTGGACAAAATAGTTCCAGCACACTCATGCCAGCTGGTTGAGAACTTTCAGGAGCTTCAGGTGCTCCATTCCCCTGGCTGGCAACACAGCCGTGAGGCCCACCCACCATAAACAGCCTGCTGCTCCTTCCTCCCAGTCGGCACCTGCATGCAAACCTGATGCCCCTGCCATCACTCCAGGCCAGCCAGAGGGCAGCCCCACCTACGGCAACTACAGGGGCTTAACACAGAGCCTGCTCTCTGCACACACTAGCCCTGACAGTGGAGACAGGTACTGTGGCCAGGAAGCAGTTAAGAGTTCTGCCTCCCAACAGGCCAGCGACCCCGCCATCGCGCCAGGCCAGCCAGAGAGCAGCCCTGCCTATGACAGCTACAGGGGCTTAATGCACAGGCTATTTCCTAGGTGTGGCTCACTGGCCCTGACAGCAGAGGCAGGCACTGAGGCCAGGAAGCAGGAAAGCGCTCTCTCCATAGGGCAGGCACTGGCACCACTCACCACCACTCCAGGTGCTAGGCAGCTCAAAAGAGCAGAGCTTCTGGGCACTAAAGGGTGCTGCCTACCTGAAGCTAATATTTTTCATTATTCAATAGGATTATGAAAGGCAGAAGAACCTTGTTCAATCCAAAATCCCTCAAACACCAGAAAGAGGGCTCAGTGAAACTGAAATCACCAATCTTCCTGAAAAAAGAATTCAAAATAAGTTATAAGCATGCTAATGGAGGTAAATATTCAAGTTCTAAGGGATGAATTCAAGAGAGAGATAGACACTTTGAAAAATACAGTGGCTGAAATGAAACATACAATGGAGGGATTTAAAAGCAGATTACATGAGGTGGAGGAGATAGTAAATGGAATATAAATTAGAGAACAGAAATACAAAGAGGCTGAGGCACAGAGAGAAAAAAGGATCTCTAGGAATGAAAGAATATAAAGAGAACTGTGTGACTAATCCAAATGGAACAATATTCATATTATAGGGGTACCAGAAAAAGAAGAGAAATAAAAAGGGATAGAAAGTGTCTTTTAAGAAATAATTACTGAAAACTTCCACAATATGAGGAAGGAAATAGTCTCTCAGGACATGGATATGCACAGACATCTCAACACAAGGGACCCAAGGAAGAAAACCCCAAGACATAAGATAATTAAAATGGCAAAGAACAAGGACAAGGACATAATATTAAAAGCAGCCAGAGAGAAAAAAGATCACATACAAAGGAAAACCCATCAGGCTATCAGCAGACTTCTCAGCAGAAACCTTACAGGCCGGAGGGAGTGGCATGATAGATTCAATGCAATGAAACAGAAGGGCCTCAAAGGAAGAACACTCTACCCAGCAAGATTATTATTTAAATTTGAAGGCGGGACTAAACAATTCCAAGATAAGCAAAAGTTGAGGGAATTTACCTCCTACAGACCATCTATCTACAGTGTATTTTAAAGGAACTGCTCTAGATGGAAGTGCTCCTAAAGCTAAATAGTTGTCACCAGAGTAAATAAAACCACACTAAAGGAAGCAGATCAATTAATCACTAACCAAATGCAAAATTAAATCAGCTACCCACAAAGTCAGTACAAGGAATACAAAAAGAGTATAGATATGACACCTAACATATAAAGAGTAGAGGAGGATTAAAAAGAAGTGGGGAAAAGAGGAATCTTCAGATTGTGTTTATAACAGCATAATAAGCAAGTTAAGTTAGACTGTTAGGTAGTAAAGAAGCTGCCCTTGAACCTTTGGTAACCACAAAGCCAAAGCCTGCAACGGCAATAAGAACGTATCTATCAATAATCACCCTAAATGTAAATGGACTGAATGCACCAATCAAAAGACACAAAGTTACAGAATGGATTAAAAAGCAAGACCCATCTATATGCTGCCTACAAGAGACTCACTTCAAACCCAAAGACATAGACAGACTAGAAGTGAAGGGATAGAAAAAGATATTTCATGCAAACAATAGGGAGAAAAAAGCAGGAGTTGCAATACATTTATCAGACAAAATAGACTTCAAAACAAAGAAAGTAACAAGAGACAAAGTAGGGTATTATGTAATAATAAAGGGGTCAGTCCAACAAGAGGATATAACCATTATAAATATCTATGCACCCAAACGACCATAGGAGCACCCAAATATGTGCAACACATACTAACAGAATTAAAGGGAGAAACAGAATGCAATGCATTCATTTTAAGAGACTTTAACACACCACACACTCCAAAAGATAAACCAACCAGACAGAAAATTAGTAAGCAGACAGAGGCACTGAACAACCCATTACAACAGATGGACCTAACAGACATCTAAAGAACACTCCACCCAAAGGCAACAGGATACACATTCTTCTCTAGCTAGAGGAACCATACTCTGAAGAGTATGGAGAGAATCTCTTTTATTTTCTTCTCTCCCTTAACATTTTACAGTGAAAGGAACCCCATTGGCAGGGAACTGCTCTACAGAGAGAAGGCTAACTCTCTGAGGGAAACCTCTTTCTGGTCAGATGAACCAGCATGTGGTTACAGGGAAGGAAGGGTGAATGAGAATCTTAGAAAAAAAGAAAGCAGGAAAGGGGAATCACCTAATTCTCTGTATGATCCAACATAAGTCCCGGGTTCAACTCTTCCTGAATTGTCCACATGCACAACAGATTCAAAGAAGCATAAAAAAGGCTGAATATGATATTAAATACTTCCCAACTTCAAGATTAACCCCTGAGTGGTACATGAGTCAAACAGACTCAAACAGCATAGTAAAGGCTCTAAAATTTGAACAGATGTAACCATCATCTACAGAAGGCAAAAGACAATGTGTAGTCAGAACCTGATCAGGTTGACTACCTATCAAAACAAACAAAAATCAACACCCTCCAGAGAATTTTAACAGAACTAAGAGTCCAGAACATATTCAAAATATACAGGATATAATCCAGAATTACACAACATGCTAAGGACAGAAAAATCTGACTAATTCTTGAGAGAAAATTTAATTAACACATACCACATACACCCCTCACACACGTTAGAATTACAAAACTAAGACTTTAAAGCAGCTATTATAATCATTTTCTATGAGATAAGGTGAATCCTCATAAATGGATGAAAACATTGATTGACATTCTCAGCAGAGAAATAAAATCTATAAAAGAAAATCAGATGGAAATTTTAGAAGAAATAATTATATGAAATAAAAAGTTAACGGGATGGGCTCAAAAACAGAATGGAGATGACAAAGGAAAGAGTAAAATCTGAAGACAGAGCAATAGAAACTATACAGTTTGAATAACTGAGAATAAAAAAAAGTTTTAAATATTAATAGAGCCTCAGTAATCTGGCAGCCACTATCAAAAGATCTGCTATTTCATGTCTTTTAAAGTCCCAGAAGGGTAGGAGAAAAAGTCTGGTACAAAAAAGATTGTATGAAGAAATCAGAAAACTTCCCAAGTTGGGTGAAAGACACAAATTTACAAATTCAAGAATCTCAGTGAACTTAAAACAGGAAAAACACAAAGAAAATCATACTCAGACACATCAAAATCAAAGTACTGAAAACCAAAGATGGGGGGAGGGGGACGAAGACATACAGAAAAGATGATATACTACATATAAGGGAATAGTGATTTAAATGGGGGATGGGGCTTGACTACAATGGGAGGGATGGAACTGTTCTGGATCTTCATTGTGGTGGTAGTTTTAAGAAAGATTCCATTTAGTATTAGTCAAAATGCTCCCTGTACACCAACAAAGAACACATATTAGGGTATGTATATATAAATGAGCCAGAAACCTGTCCTTTACTGCTGTCCTTCTCTCATTTTCTGTATCTAATCAACCACCATTTCATAAAAAATTTACTTTCTAAAGATTTCTCAAATTTGCCCTTTTCCTCCATTCCCACTGTTTCTTCTTGGTTGAGCTCTCATCATCCCAATCTGTTACTATATTGATCACAAAGGTAACCTTGGTCGACTTGCTTTGCAAAAGATGATACTTGCTCTAACAGTACCAGCTTTAACCTGGAAGCTTGTTAGAATGTAGAATCTCAGACCCCACTGTAGAACTCCTGAATTGGGATCCACATTTTAACAGAATTCTGAAAGGCTTTGTAAACAAAATACAATGAAATTTGAAAAGCCCCTAGACTGGCGCATGCCAGATTGAATGAAAATCTTACTGTGCTGCTCCTCCCCTTAACATCTTATAAACACCCTACCAGGACACAAAGCAGGATATGCATGACCTCACCCTGCCTTCCTCTTCAGGCTCATGTTTCATTTAACACTTACTAAGACTTAACTGTCCGTGTAAGTCCAATACACATAGCAATGCTGTGTCCCATTGCTACACCTTTACCCATGCAGTTCCCTTGGCCTAGAATACCTGGTTGTCTTCATCTGGTAATTCCTACACCTTCAATCCTCCCTATTTAGAAGTTGACCTTAGCAAACTGACTACCACCTAGGTTAAGGTAAGAGTCCCTCTGGACTTCTTTCATCCCTGGACTTCCCACATTTTATTGAAATTATCTGTTTATGTGTCTTTCCTGGCGTGTAGGTTTCTCAAAGGCATTGGACTCATCTATTTTTTCCCTGTATCTAGCACAGAGAACTAGATATGTTAAAGAAGGTTTTGATGAACTGAACTACCATCTTTTTTTTTATTCTTAGAAAACTATGTTTCTAGTCTGGCAGTAACCAGTTTCCCCATCACACAATCTTTTCATGAGGGAAATGAAGCTAACCGTCTCCTAAACCTGAGCTACAAGCTGCTTGAAAACAGAATGAATTTGAATTTAGACACAACACTTTTTTGCCTGTGTATTTACAGCCCCAAGCTAAGAGGAAAGGCTTTTTTAAAATGCCATAAAGCCCCTACTGTAAAGCTCATTTTGTCCAAATTTGGGGGCTAGGGAGCCCTTAGGTCTTGTTTATTTACAAATTCTTAGCTCAGGCCTTGCTGCCCCGCAAGGCTGACCGTAAAGATAGGCTCAGCTGGTAACAATCTCTGTTCAAATCTCAGAGGGCCACTCTATAGCCAAAGCCCAGGCCTAACAGCGCTTTCTCCACGGCCCAGCCCAATGGGGTCACCTTCTCCGGGGCAGCTCCTCGTCGTCCAAGTCGCTCTCTGTCACCGACCCCTCAATCACCGTTTCATCACTGTCCCAGTCGGGGGCCTGGGCCCCTTCCTCCATCTTGGCCTCACACTCGGATAATGTGACTTTTCCTCGTTCTCTAACTAACCCCCTTTCCGCAAGAAGAGAACACCCCGAGGGCCAGGGAAAACTGTTGGTTAAAAATAAAATTTGTGACGAGGGCCGGGCCTCGCTCACACCGCGGACCGAAGGCCCAAATGCCCCGCGGAGGCCAGCCGTCGGAAAGGCGGCCCCGCACGCCGCCGACAGGGGGAGCCACGCGTCTCGCGTCCGAGCCGCGCGCTGCGTGGCCCCGCCCCCAGCGCAGTGCTGGAAGTGGCTGGCGCGCGCCCGCGAGCCCCGGGTGCGCGGAAGGCCTTTGGCGTTCCTCGCTGCGGCTTGCAGTTTGGACGCTAGTGGTGTTATAAGTGATCACACTAAAATCCTAATATAAGTAGGATTTCACGAAACTTCTATCTTCTTATTTATACTTCTCCTTATTTCCCACGTTTTCTACAGACTTTTGGACTAGATAATATATTTACATGGTTCAAAAAATGTCTCAAAAGTATGAAAGGGTGTGTAGTGGAAATCTGTCATACCGATTCTCTCGTTGGGCAGACAGGATATCGGGGCTATAAGCGCGAAGGCTAGAAAGGCCGCGGGGCCGCAGGCCGACCGCAGGCAGTGCTCACCTAACGCCTTGGGCAGCGAAGGAGACGGGTCTCGTGAACCGCAGTGCATCTCCTGCTGGTGGGACGCAGACCCGGCAAGAAAGGTCAGCTACTGCACTACCCCAGCCAAGGCTCTCATTCCCTTCTCATTCTGAAGCCAGAATGTTACCTGAGACCCGAAGAGTGTTTTTGCAGTCCACCAAGTGCTGCCTTTCTTCCTAATCCCTTTGACACCCCCTCCCCAAGTGTTCCCCGAAGTCGGCAAACAAACATGTTTATCAGAAGTTTTTAGATCAATTAATCTAATTGATGTATTTTGTATTTGTACTTTTCCCTCATCAACTCTTCTGTTATCCTGAAATACAGATTCTGTAGGAAGGCAGGATAAATGCTTTTATTTTTCCCCTTTATCAACTTTTATATCACTTTTATTATCACTATTATGTGGTGCCTATTAAGCTCCAAAAGTAGCCAATTATTATTTTTTAATACTAGATTTTTATACATTTGATGTGTCTCAATCTATTTGAAAGTTAAATTCAAACGAATTCAAAACAAAGCCAAGAGAGCCACACCTGACAAGTAGGAAGAAGATTCAAGATAAGACAGAACCTCTTCCTCATAGCAAGTGTTTGGAATTTACCTTGGAATCTCCAGCATCTAGCACATATTAGGTCTTCAAAATTTTGTAAAGTAAATGGATAGAACTAGGGCTCTCAGACGCCCCAATTCACTACTCTTTTCCCTACAGGGAGTGGCTTGGTCATTCTTACTATTTTACAATTTAGATCATACTTTAGACACTGTTGTGTAAAACACTTTATTGGTGATTCTCTCGGTGATTCTCTTTTTAAAAAGTTATTTGAATATTTCTCAACTCTGTAAATTAGAACAGTAATAAATATGCAAAGAACTAGACCTCATTGTTTTTTTCACACTTCTCCATCTAATCTAATATTTTTAAATGAGTCCAAAATTCCTATCCGATCTCCCGCTCACCCACTTCTTTGATAATCTAGCTCTGTTTTCACTTTTTAGAAGTAAGTAATTGCCAACAATGGAAAGTGCATAACCCGTGAAAGGGTCATGGGTAGCTCTAGAATGAAAAGTGACTTAGTACTATTAATAGCACTTACTCCAAGGTAGCTGGTAACTTTTGCTAGGGATAGAAAACTGAGTGTGAAATTCAAATTCCATTTTAAGATGCTTTCTCCTTTGGTGGGAAAGAAACAACTATTTTTGTATCTTTAGTTCTTTTATTCAAGAGAGTTGCCAAGATTCAAAGCATAAAAAAGGAATGATAGAGATTGTCCTCATAAATGCCAGCATGATTTAAAATAATTTTGTTTTGTTTTCATAATCCAACGTTTCAGTGCAGGACAAAGGTAGAAGAATGGACCAATCTGTGTTAGATATCTGGACTGCAAATGACAAAAAAAAATGCAGTTCACACCTCTCCACCTATATCCTCTATGTTTAAATCAGTCCTAAATTGCTAGGGAAAAGGCTAATGGGGAATTTTATAATGGATGGATCAGGCTGACAACACCTAAGTCCACTGATAATCTTGACACCACTAAAATTGTGACAACCAAATATTAAGTTCTCTTGGCATAGTACAATAAGAATAAATGGCACTACCTATGAAGGATTCTAGACCAAAACAACAGTTAAAAACTTGATTCTAATCAAGCCTGTAGATCTATCATATCTATATGGGGGGCAGAGAAATCTAAAATCTGGGAAATTCTATAGGACAAATGAGTTGGTTTCTTTCAACATTTAGAAGTTATAGCATAAAAAAGAAAAAATGAAAACTTAGATTTAAAGAGACCCTAAGAAATGGGAAAAAAATTCAAGTAGCTGCAAAGTAAAATCAATTGAGTGTCAATATGTATACTAATACAAAATGAATTAGCCAGGAAACCTTAATAACATTATATCCTTTTTAAGCCAACAAATATTTGTAAAAAATTAAATAGTACAAGAGAGGATAAAATTAGGTTATATCAAAATTTGAATCTTTGCGGAATAGTGTTGTGTACTAAACTCATAAATGAAACTAAGTAATACTTAGAGTAATTAAATTTCCCTTATTTGATTCCATTTAGGCTATAAGTCTGGCAAGAAAAAGTCCTTTGGGGAATTCTTTACTTGTTTTTAAACAGGTGAATTAAAAGTAGATGTCAGCCAAGAAACAACAAATGCTGGTGAGGATGAGAAGAAAGGGAAACCCTGCTACACTGTTGGTAGGAATGTAAATTAGTTCAACCATTGTGGAAAGTAATATGGAATTTCCTCAAAAAACTTGAAATAGAAGTACCATTCAACCCAGTAATTCCATTTCTAGGAATTCACCTGAAGAAAACAAGATCCCTGATCAAAAAGACATATGCACCCCTATGTTTATCACAGCACTATTTGCAATAGCCAAGATATGGAAGGAACCTAAGTGTCTATCACTAGATGGATAATAGATGTACATATATACAATGGAATATTATTCAGTCATAAAAAGAAAAATCCTACCATTTGCAACAACATAGATGGAGCTAGAGGGTATTATGCTCAGTGAAATAAGCCAGGCAGAAAAAGACAAGTACCAAATGATTTCACTCATTTGTGGAGTATAACAACAAAGCAAAACTGAAGGAACAAAACAGCAGGAGACTCACAGACTCCAAGAAAGGGACTAGTGGTTACCAAAGGGAAGGGTTTGGTGAGGATTGGTGGGGAAGGAAGGAGAATGGGATTAAGGGGCATTATAATTAGCAATCACAATATAGGTAAGTCACAGGGAACGCAGTGCAATATGGAGAAGGCAAGTATTGACTGAAAGTTTCTTACTACATTGATAGACAAGGACTGCAATGGGGTTTGGGGGTAGTGGGGACTTGATAATATGGGGCAATATTGAAACCACAATGTTTTCACGTGAAACCTTTGTAAGACTGTACATCAATGATACCTTAATTGAAAAAAAAGTAGATGTCAGCTCCATCATTAGGAAGGAAAATCCAAAATTATATCCAATAGCATGTATGCTAAACCACAAACGTTAGTGAGGCTCAGTGCCCTGGAGGTAAGCTGAGAACAAGGGCCCTTTCCATATAGGCCTTGCCTTCTAGTGGATGAGGCAGACAGTAAGCAAGTAAATGAATAAATGAGATAATTCAGAGAGTGATGTGTGCCTGAAAGAAATAAATAGGTTGCTAGAGAATGGTTGGAGAATAGCCTTTCTGAGACCAATGACCATTGACTCAAGACCTCACACATGAACATAAGTGCACAGGCTCTGAGACATTCTAGAACAGGAAGGAGGCCTGTGTGCCTGGAGCTGTGGAGTAAGAGGAGAGTGGTATAAGATGAGGCTCGAGCACTAAGCAGGAAGTGGAGTATGTACAAGGTGTAATGTAATGAGGTTTGTTTGGAAATGTGGATTTTGAAAAATAAGTCTCATTCTTTTGTAGTTACACAATATATTTTTCTTTTATAATTAAAATTATTTTCTGCCTACAATTTCCTATCATTTACATCCTATCCAGTTTACTTCAGATCCGAGAACTGTGAAAGATAAGGCTTTCATGGAAGACTTATCATAATTCTAGCACAACGTGAGTCTCTAAGACAATAAACCCAACAGCCACTTTCACCTCAGTACTATTTATCCCCCAAAATAAAGCTATATAAAATGTTTCACCAAGTATTCCATGGTAGTATTTTAAAATACATTTCCCAAAAAGAACATTATTTTCTCAAAGATTTGGACATTTTTTTAGAAAAAAAAAAGGTTGCTCTCCATTCACCCAAGCAATTCACATGGTGTTTAGCACAAATTAGTATTCTGCTTTGTGAATTGAAAAATGAATGAGGACACATATATGTAATCAGAAAAATCAGGATACTGAGACCCTTTCTCAAAAACTGCAAAATGTGGGAGCACACAAAGCCAGGCTTACACAGGGTTACATGTGGTTTCAGTACCTAACTTTGTTTTTTAGTGATTAGAATTGATTCACATGTATAGGGATATACCAACCATAACTCTATAGGCTATGTCCCTTCTTCATGCAGAATTTTAGACAGGAGCTCAAGTTAACTTTAAAGTGGCATAAAATAAATATTAAAACACTTCAAAAGTTGAAAGTACTATGAAATTTAAGATAGTAGCCTAATATACAGTTAATATTTCATGATGATAAATCTCTAAAGAATAACTAAAAGCATCTGTTGTTCTGACAATTGGCAAAAAGATATGAAGCCCATGAAATCAGCACAGGATGACTGCAAAAACACTCAGCATTTCAAAAATGATAATCAGAGGACTAGACATACCTCGTGGTAAATTATAACAACACTTCCCAACCCACTTCTCCAGGATACCTGCAAAATGTGGCTATTCTATGTGATCTCTACTATTGTAATCCTTTGTTGTTTAACTCTATTAGATAATGAATAATATATTTCTTTAGAAGTAGAAATACAAAATGTCCTAAAGAGCAGCAGTTCTACACTGATCATCTGTCT